CATAGCTTGTATGTACCCTTGCCAAGAGGGAAAGGAAGAGAGGATGTGTCATTAAAACACAGGGAGCCATACCCAAGGCTTTCTGAAGACTTCCAAAGTGATAGCCAGCTTGAATCTCCTGAAGGTCTAGGTTTCATGCCCAGCAGATAAACAAAACATGGAGCTCAAGAAATATCTCAGAAGTTAGGAGCACTTGCTATACTCCAAGGACCCGATATGGTTCCCAGCACCCACAGCTGTCAGCTCACTACCACATGGAACTTTAGTTCCCAGGGATCCAACATCCTCTTCTGGCCACAGAGGCACCAGCACATACATCACACACACACACACACACACACACACACACAAATAAAAATAGTTAGGGGCTGGAGAGATGACTCAACAGTTAAGAGCATTTGATGCTCTTGCAGAGGACCCAGGTTTGGTTCCCAGCATCCATATGGTGGCTCCTAACCATCTGTAACTTCAGTTCCAGGGGATCTGAATCCTTCATCTGGCCTCCAGACACCAGACATGCATAAAGCACTTGGTGTACATACAGACAAGCACTTGTAAACATAAAATAAAAACCTTAACTAAATAAAGCTGTAAAAACTGAAAAACATACACCCGATTGCAGTACACACTGTGAAATTCTGCATATCTTTCTTTTTCACTCAAAGTAAAAATAAAAAACTCAAAGTTCTCAAAAATGGTCTCGGAGTTGAGGATGTGGCTTAGATGGCAAGTGCAGGTCCTCCAGTGCAAAGCACTGATTTGATTGTCAGCACCAAAATAAAAGGGAGGAGAGGAAGCTGAGGGTGTGACTCGGTAGAGGGCTTGCCTAGCATACATGAGCCGCAGCATTGCATAAACCGAGCATGTGTGTACATCTATAATCCCAGCATTTAGGAGGGTGAAGGTAGAGGGAATCAGAAGTTCAGGATCATCCTCAGCAACAGAGAGTTCAAAGCAAAGCTAGCCTGGGAAACAGGAGACCTGATGTATAAGACAATTAATTGAAACCCTAAACTTCCCCTCCACCACAGTGCTGAGATGGGATTTCTAAAACACAGGACATATTTTAAAAATGGTATTAATGGTGAGGTGGGGTAATGATGGTGCAATACAGAGCCCTCCAGGCCATTTGTCCGTGCTCCTATCCTACCAAAAGAGAATGTAAATGATGACACAGTGATCCCCACTTCTCCACAAGGGATATATTCCAATACCCACAGTGGGCACCTGGAACTGTGGATAGTTCCAAACTCTGCATATAACATACTTTCTCCTGTACATACATACTATGATAAAGTTCATCCTACCAATCAGACATAGTTAATGATTAACAATAACTAATAAACTAATACACTATAAATTACATGAATGTGTTCCCTTTAAAAAAAAAATCCTCCCATTGCCAAAGACTTCATCTCCTGTTCCTCGCACAGGGCACGCAGCCTTGGCACCTGTAGGTCCCTCCCTCCCTCTCTGATATCTAAAGAGTTAGCTTCCTCCCCTGCTCAGGCTTCGTTCATTTGGATCTTTTCTCTCTGTCCCATTCAAACCTTCCCATACACCTTACACTTTTTCATTTAGCTCTTCCAAGATCACATCTATTTACTCTGGGCATGCACATGCATGGCGATGTACCTTTGGAAGTTGGAGGACAATTGGACAACTTGTGAGAGTCCATTGTCTCCTTCCACCATGTGGGCCCTGGGGATCAAACTCAGGTCACCAGCCTTGGCAGCCAGTGCCTTTGTCCACTGTGCATCTTTCTGACCCTTCTCCTTAGTTCATTACCAGGTGTCACACTGGTCAGCTACCTTAAGTGTCTGTCCCCTCCACATTAGAGTTAAAGCCCAAAAGTAGAACTATTCCCCACTCCCATTCCTAGATCTGTCCCCTACACCTTGCATGGTTTCTGGCCCACAAAAGGAATACAATATACTAAAGGCATAATTGGAGGATAAGCATACATCAAGGCTGCTCACTTTTACTTGAATGCATGTGTTTCCTCCTTTCCCACTGCCCAGGGCCATTGTCACATATAAACAGGGAACTCTCTCATGTGATGGGCAACCTGCCCAGAGCAGCCACAGAGTAGATGAGTATTTGTAATCTGGGCTTGGGCTGGAGGTATGACTCAGAGATGGAAGGCTTGCCTAGCATCTGTGACTCCCTCAGTTGGGGCTCCAGCATTTGGGGGAGGGTCCTGCACCCAGGTGTTACAATTCTACCTACTCAGAAGGTGGAGGCAGGAGGTTCACAAATTTTAAAGCTAGCCAGAACAATTTAGTAAGACTGGCTCAAAATAGTTTAGAAAGACCTAGAAGCTGCAAGCCATGTATGATGCCGGGGAGCATTTTACACAGTATAAACTCCAAAGCAAGCCAGAGCTCCTGGCTTCATACAGCAAGGAGCTGTTCTCAGAGCCCAGCTAAGTGGAAGGTAAAATGACCCCAAGAGGACCCAGCTAGGGGTGGAAAACTTGGGGGCAGCCAAGTCTTTCCAGGGCAGTCCTTCCCAACCTTCCTAATGCTCAGACCCTTAATACAGTTCCTCATGCTGTGCTGCCCCCCAACCATAAAATTACTTTGTAACTACTTCATAACTGTAATCTTGCTACATTGCAAATTTTAATGTAAATATCTGCTATGCCATCCCAAAGGGTCTAGACCCACAGGTTGAGACCTGTTCTAGAGCATTCCCCCTCAAAACCTACTGGGTCAAACACCAACAGCCAAACCAACCCTGGGGGAGCTGTGCTGGGAATGGGCAGCTGGGGACATGGCTTAAACAAGGCTCAGGGCAGAACAGAAATGAACTGACTCCTGGGTCTGCAAAGCTTGATGAAAGGCTAGATGGTGGGACATGTCTTTAATCCCAGTACTCAGGAGGCAGAGACTGTTGAATCTCTTGAGTTTGAGGTCAGCTTGATCTACAGATCGAGTTCCAGTACAGGCTCCAAAGCTACAAAGAAACCCTGTCTCAAAAAGCCAAAAAGAAAAAAGAGAAAAAACTTGATGAAAGGCCTGTGAGCTGATGGATAAGGAAAAAACCAACTCCATAGGTATCCTCTGATCTCCATACATGTATTATAGCATGCATATGCACCCACACACACACACACACACACAAGCATAATAAATAACAAAGTTTAAGAAAACATTTGATGATTGCCATTGAATAATTTATTCTGGTGTCTTGGACACTTGGAGTTGCTTGTCCCCCCCCCAAGTGTGCAGGGCTAACAGGAATATATATATATATATATATATATATATATATATATATATATATATATAATTAAGGTGAAGAACTGATGAAGTTTCTTCACTTTAAAAGATAACGTGAGGAAATGACAAAGTTTCTAGCCAGGAATAGAAGAGTAGAATAAAGGGAGATTCTAAGTAAGTGCTTGTGCCATGCCGTCCCAAGTTCTAACTTATCAGAGCTGCTAGCTCTGATACAAGGGATACAAGCTAGAAAGAGATGCATGTAGGAACTATGGGGCAGCAAAGACACTGGATGGTTTCATTTGTCATGTTTTTAGGCAGCACCCACTTGGAGATCTTTGGGGAAGGACCTTCCTTCCCCTGGCTGCTTTCTAAAATGTATATCCAAATTCAGGACCCCAAAGGAGTTTATTTTCTTGGTAATGTGGTTTCTTGGGGTAGTTTTTGTTTGCTTGTTTTATTTTTACTATTAATGCAGCCCCTCCCCCAAAAAAGGGAAAAGATGAAAAAGAAATAAAAAGTGCTAGATGCCTTTAACTTTTACCTGGGCTGCCATATGGGTGTCTTAGAGGCTGCAGACATTTGACCGGGTTTCAGGACTCAGACAGGATCACAAAAGCAGAAATGTCCCTTTCTCCTTGGCAAAGGGGAGGGTCAGGGGTTCCGCCCTCTCCCTCCTCCTGCCCCCCCCCCCAGCTCCGGTCAGCTGCTCCCACACAGTTAAAGATTACCACCCTAGCCAGGACAAGCCCCACAGCCAGACCCACCCCCTCTTCCTCATTCTCTTGGCTAAACCCAAGGGGCTTTGGGCCAGGCCAGGATAGAATTTCCGTGGCAACAGGCATCCAAAAGGCCACCAAGCGCTCTACATTGTTCCGTGTGTCTTTTGTGTCAGAGCGTTGAGTAGCTAGGGTGTAAAAGATGCCCACATGCCACGCTGGGCAGTCTGTTGGTAATGGAGACCCTAGCTAAACCCTGCTTCTGCTTCGAGTTGCACCCTCACGTTTAAGAAGGAAGCTGAAAGGACGCAATGCAGACCTTGTGGGAATGACTGACAATGTGCGTGTACTGTCAGCTCTACACGGCTTGTTTGCCAGCAGGACCGATTCACACACAGCGCCTGGCGGGCCCAAAAAGAAAAGGCCAGGACAGGGCCCAGACTGAGCCTCCAAGGCAACGAAGGGTGGGGGAGTGGCAGCTAAACAAAAGCGGGAAAAATAGAAGAGCATTCCTCCAGCTGTCGAGTAAAGGTTCCAAAAATAGCTGACGTCGGCCTGCTGGAGAGGAGGGATCAGAGTGCGCGGGGATTGGAGCGAAGGGGAAATGGAGGCCTCTCCTCCTTGCCTTTGTCTGAGCCAGGACCGCGAGGTGACCCTCCCCTGCCTAGGGCAATAGCAGGCCTCTCCGGCCCTTCTGGGTCGCTAGTACCCTCCAAGGGGGCAGGGCAGTCAGGATACCCCACTCCGGATCCACGCACCCCCCCAAAAAAAAAGATCCCCCGAAATACTTGGTTAGCCCCAGCCCTGACGGGACCCAGCAACCATGCCCCAGGCCACCAGCTGCCACTGTTCCCTACACCCGAACCCCAGCGCCTGAAGCAGCCTGGGCGCGTCCAGCGCGGGAGCCCGGAACCAGGACACCGCCCGGCCCTTTGTGACCCGCACGCCGCCGTACCCCGGCCACCGGCGTGTCGCTAGCAGTGCTCAGGGTCCCCCTCCCGGGACGTCGCCACGTCGCAGCCAGTAAGCGCACCCGCCCCCCTGGTGCGGCACTCACATTGGCGCCGGGGCTGCTCCGGCCAGCTGGGGACAGTCAGGACGGCCGGCGCCCAGGCTCGCGCCGAGCCAGGGGCTTTGCAGAGCGAGTGCACGGCCCGTAGGTAAACGGCCATCCCGAACACGCGAGGTCTGAGCGCGCCGCTGCACCAGGCTGAGCGGCGGGGACTCGGCTGGCCCGGGTGGCCGGGGCCCAACCGGGGCGGAGCTGCGGAGCCCGCCGCCCCATTGGGTCTCACCCGGGAGAAGGCGGGTCCAAGGCCGGGGCAGGAGCCTGTCTGCCACCCCTGGGCCTGTTTCAGAGCTTGGGCGGCCCCAGCGCTGAGCCCGCGCTTTCTGGGCACCTCAGTCCATCACCGAAGCAGCAAGAGCCAGTGAGACCCATTCGGGACGCAGGGGCTCACGGCTGCACGACGCCCCGCTTCCACCAGGATGTCAGCGGCGACACGTCGCCTTAATACCCTGCGTCCTTCGCGTTTGGCTCACTGATCTTCCGAGGCGCCGCATTCATCATGCCAGTTGACTCTTTTTGCATTCTTGAGCCAAGCCCATGATATCTAGGGTCTCCTCCAGGGAGCGCTCAGTTGAGTGAATTAGCCAGGATCAACAGCTGAAATTCCAAGTGTGGTGGAGTTCATATCTGCTCATGAGTTCAGGGCCAGACTGGGCTACACGAGTCCCTGTCACAAAAACAAAACAAAGCAAAGGGTTGAAATCCCCCTTTTGAGCCGAGCGTTGGAGGTGCACACCTTTAATCCCGGCACTCGGGAGGCAGAGGCAGGTGGATCTCTGTGAGTTCGAGGCCAGCCTGGTCTACAGAGCGAGTTCCAGGACAGCCTCCAAAGCCACAGAGAAACCCTGTCTAGAACCCCTCCCCCAAGAAGAAGAAAGAAAGAAATCTCCCTTTTGCTCTTCATTAGACCAGACTTTTAGCCCCAAAGTCCCTTACCATGGCCAGAATCAGTTCCCCTGGGCCTAAGAGTGCTGCCAAGAGACTAAGGTGACATGTATAGATAAAAGATTAACAGCGCTGCCCAAGTTAATTACATTCTATGCCAGTAGTTATGCAGTCCTGAAGGACAGCCCATATCTCCTATATGCTAGGCAAAGGTCCAGCCACCAACCAGCCCAACAATTCCTATTTTGGCTGTTTACGTGGAAAAACAAGAAAACTGGCACCGACAAACTAAATCCATCACTGCTCCTTTTCCTGAAGTAAGGCTCACTGAAGGCTGGGCTTTTTGTCTCAAACTCTAACAAACCCACCCCAGCTTTCCCAATCACATCAAAGGAGAGCAACCTTTCTGCCCTGTGCTCCCAGATCTCACTCCAGCTTGTGATCGGCAGTGCCAGGTGGAGCTGGGCCAGGAAAGTGACCTTGAGCTGCAGACACCAAAGCTTCGCCTGGAGTCTCAGTCTGGCTGAGCCACAGCTTTACCTCTAGGATTCAGTAGAGAGTGGATGCAAGGAGAGGTTAAAGGAAGTTAAAGGAAGGCCTGCTTCTGTTCCAGGACAGCCTGAGAGCCTTTTTAGCGGGCTCACAATTCTCTTCCATAGAACTCTGGTAAAGACCATGGAGGCTGCTGACTTTGGCTTTCATGCCATCCTGGCAAGATCAGGTCCCTGGACTTCAGGATCTACTCTTGTAAGGTTGGAGAACAGAGCAATCAGATGCAATTATGGAGATCAATTGCCCATACTGCCACTGCTAGAAGGGTGACAATTGCTGCTCATCCCCAAAGCTGCTTCTTGTTTCCCCTATGTAGGGCTCAGTGTGCTATGGACTCTGGTGTTTGTCTGCTGAGAGACCAAAGTAGAAGTCTTTGTGTTTTTCATAAGCACAGCATCAGTTGGGGGCAGCTGAGCAAGGTCACTTTTTAAACTGACGCTTGTTGCCTGCTCCAACTCCATCTCAGCTTTCTCCATACCGTGGTCATGAGGTAGCTGGTTTTAGTGGAGCTCAGAGAGGTTAGGCCACTGGTTGAAAGTCACTAAGCCAAGGTGTAGCAGAACTCCAGTTCAAATCCAAATACCTGTCCAACAGCCCATTATTTGCTTAAGGACACAAGAGAGAAACTAGGACCTCTGTTACTCATGTTTGGAGCTACTGGCCATGGTAATTTCTAAAACAATATTATTGTTATTATTTTAATTTATGTATATGGATGTTTTGCCTGCATGTGTGTCTGTATACCACATGTGTGTTTGGTGCCCTCAGAGGTCAGAAGAGAGTGTGGGATTGGAATTACAGATAGTTATGAACTGCCATGTGGGTGTTGGGAATTGAATCTATAACCTCTGGAAGAAATATTCTCAACCTGAGTCATCTCTCTAGCCCCGGGTGGTAACTTTTGACCCTGAAGGTTTTGCCTGTGATGGTATTTAAAGAAAACCGGGTTAGAGTCTGCAATTTGAAGTCAATGAGTTGAGATGGTGTGTGTGTGTGTGTGTGTGTGTGTGTGTGTGTGTGTGTGTGTGTGTGCTTGTACCTGTGTGTAAGTGGTGGAGTACCCACACTAAATCATGGGTCTGGAGATTAGAAGACAACTTTGCATGGCAGCCTTCCCACCACCTTATTTGAGGCAGGGTGTCTCTTGTTTGTCACTGCTTACAGGCATTCTCCTGCCTCTACCCGGCATCTCATCACAGAAGCACCAAGTTACACACATGCATTACAGTGCATGGCTGGGTTCTGTTGAGTCAGCACAGGTGCCACTTGTATATCAAGCCCGTTACCTGTTGAGCCATTTCTCCTCCCCACATTTTTAAAGTTAAACCCCATTTCATGACTAAGTTGAAGCTACATACGAGTTCTGTAGAGGGACAAAAATACCTCCATTACTCTCTCCCTGTTAGAAGTTGATGCAAGCCGGGTGTTGGTGGTGCATGCCTTTAGTCCCAGCACTCAGGAGGCATAGGCAGATGGATCTCTGTGAGTTCGAGGCCAGCCTGGTCTACAGAGCTAGTTCCAGGACAGGCTCCAAAACAATACAGAGAAACTCTGTCTCAAAAAAAAAAAAAAAAAAAAAAAAAAAAAAAAAGTTGATGCATATAGATGCAATCATCACATCATCACAGATCCAGGGACAAGAGGAAAATCCCAAGAGGAGCTTCCTTCTTTATTTCATTTTATTACTGTTGTTTGTTGTTGTCTTTAAACAAGGTCTTATGTAGACCAGGCTGGCCTCAAACTTACTATGTACTGGATACTGACCTTGAACTCCTGATCCTCCTGCCTCCACTTCCCAGTGTTGAAATTACTTTACTTCCGAGAGGAGTTTGATGGCACATGAGATGTCCAGCAAAAAGAAAATCCCCTGTGCTGAAGGAGCAGCCCTGGGGAGTGTGTATGTGTGGGGGCAGAATATCCACTAAGAATATGAGGAGTCCAGATCACAGGCTGACAGTGGGCTGTCTCAAGCTTCACCTACCCTCCAGGCATGTGGTTTGTGGTATGCTCATAAGCAGAGTATAGGCTCCCAAAACAGATACAGATGTGAGACCTGAGTCCCTGGGCCAGAGATAAGTCTGACATGAGTCCTGGAAGACTTCCAAAAAGGAAGACATGGCATAGCAGCTGCCTGAACACAGGCCTGGCAGAAGAGGAGTCGGAGTGAGTCAGGCCTCCCCCTGCAAGGCTGAAGAATGACAGTGCCATTATTAGAAAGTGGAAAACAGGAGGCGAATGTTGATAGCTGAGCGAGCTATTTATGGTGATCTCCTCAGTCTGTCCTATGCCTGTTTCCAGAACCTTCTCCCTAAAGCCTAGCTCTGGCAGTCACTCTGCAGCTCAGATTCCTGCCACAGCTTTCCCAGGGACCAATACAACAGCTGGATAGCTCTGTAACCTGTGCCTGCATTCCTCTTACCAAGTCAAATAGCTGCTTTCCCATCCATAGCCCAATTCAACTTCTGCTTGGTGGATGCTTTGGCCTGTACCCGTGTGTCCCCACAATTCAGATGCTGCACCATTATTCCCATGGTGATAGTGTTTGGAGGTGGTGTCTTTGGGACATAAGTACATCATGAGGACCACCTGTCATGAATGAGATCAGTGACTGTGTAAAAAGCCTCATGAGGCGGTTGACCTCTCTAGTGTAAGGGCATAGAATTGAAGAGGACTTCACAAGGTAAAAAATACTCTGACACCTGGATCTTTTATTATATTTTAAAAGATTTATCCATTTTTATTTTGTGTGTGTGTGTGCTCATGTGCATGCGTGCATGCATGTAAGCAAACATGCTTTGGCTGCACTATGAAGGTGCACTACCTGAGTAAGCCAGAAGAATCATCAAATCTCCTGGAACTAGAATTGCAGATGGTTCTGAGCTGCCATGTGTAGGTGCTGGGAACCAAAGCCCTCGCCTCTGCAAGAGCAGCAAGTGCTCTGATCTGCTAGGCCATCTCTCTAGCCCAGTAATTATGACTACTTCTAAGATAGGGTTTCAGGTATCCCGGGCTAGCCTCAGCCTGCTATGTAGCTGAAGACGACCTTGAACTCCTGACCTCCATGCTTCCACCTCCCAAGTGTTGGAATGTGAGCAGTGCATTGCTTTTTATGTGGTGCTGGGGAATCAAATCCAGAACCTTGGGCACGCTCAGCAAGCACACTGAGATACATCCCCACTCTCTGATTCCAACTTTGCAAAATGGGCAAAAATGGGGTTTAGAAGCAAATTTAGGGGTGGAATTGCTGTGACTGACTGTTTTGATGTTTTTTTGAGATACAGCTTCAAATTTCTGATTGCTGCTTCCACTGTGCTGGGAGATGTTGAAATACCATTGAATTTCATGAACATTTTGTTGCTTAAATTAATCCTAAACATCCCTAAATCCAGCGAGCAAGAGTCAAACAAAGAGAAACGGTTGACAGCTATTAACATGGGCCAGATGCAACATTACTAGGCTGGCAGGAGACTCCCGGAGTACAGAGTTTCTGCCAACTTGCAGATGGGATTTGTATCATTAGGGTCTCATTGCCTGGAGCCAGAGCTTCTGGGAACCTCAGTTCCCATAGCTGCAAATGGTGAGTAATGATTCCAACTCCTGGGGGAGATCTGGGGACTAAATGAGTTTTCAGCACAGTACCTGATGCACAGAGGGTGTGTGCTGGGCCTGTGACTTGCCAAGTCTGACCTAGGGATGGACCAGAGGGCACATTCCTTCCTGAGAGGACCTTAATCCCCAGGGTGTAGGGGAGATGGACATGTAAACAAGTATTTCAAAATATAGTGAGTGTGGTG